AATAAAAAGGTGGAATAAAAAAGAAAAAAAAATAAGATATTTAAATTTAAAAAAAAAACTGAAAAGAAACTAAAAGGTAAAGAAAAATGAGAAAAACAATAAAAAGTTAGAATAAAAAAGAAAAAAAATAATAAGATATTTAAATTAAAAAAAAACTGAAAAGGAAACTAAAAAATAAAGAAAAATGAGAAAAAAACTAAAATGGTAAATAGTTTTGAAACAACACTAAAATGGTAAATATTTTTTCCACCCACCCTATTATGGTCAAAACTCCAATATTCTGGAAATCATGCGGAGCTACATTTTTGGATTTATATATTTTGTCCTTGGTATTTAATTTAGACAAAAAAAAAAAGATGTGATAATTTAATTTAGAACAATTCCTTAGGTAAATCACTGGTGGATTAAATACCATTTTATTAAGATAAATGACTGAATTGTTTGATGTAAAAGGCTTATAATGAAAAAATGTGAAAGGAATATGTTTGGTTAAATGGAGCATGTTGCCATGAATGTGCATGGCCACATGATTTTCTCGACATGCGAGCCTCCAATTTCACATGGACAATGTAATGTCACATGGCTTTTGATTATTAATTAATCCAAATTCCTAATTTCGATTTTACTATAATTCATTTTAGAACAACATGACATGATACAAGACGAACCTACGTACCTAACCTCCCATTTTAATAAAACTACAGTTTTTTACCAGACGACATAATATAAAACGACGTATTTAAGCTGAATCATGCTTTAGATCGAAAGGAGACAACATTCAGTTTCATACGTATGGGTCGACATAATATAAAACGACGTATTTAAGCTGATTCATGCTTTAGGTTGAAAGGATACAACATTGAGTTTCATAAGTATAGGTCGTAGACGTAGTTAATCACCCATGGCCTAATATTTGGAAAAGCGTGTAGTACTACATGAAGCGATGAAGTTATATACTGTACAATATTAACAGGAGAAATTAAATATTAATAAAAAATTATTAATTTTATTAAATATGATAAATGTCCTAATTTTAAATGTATAGGAATATGTTTGGAAGAAAAAGTAGAAGAATATTTGATTTCCCTATCAGGAATTAGTAGTAGGGGTTGCACAATTTTTTTTTCCGGATAAACATAATATAAAATATTAAAAAAAAAAAAATTCTGGTCAAACATAATATAAAACATCTAATACAAATTTTTTTTTTGGTTAAACATAATATTACAACGATCTATTAGAATTTAAATTTATCATCTTCGTGCAGACATCTTTTGAAACCGTTCCATATCTTTTTCATTCTCAACTTTCGCAAGTACTTCGGTCTCGACATTACAAAACAATGCGTCGTTCAAAAATTCATCGTCAATTTTGTTACGCAAGTCGGTCTTCAAGAGCTTCATCTTTGAAAAACATATTTCTACACTTGTGGTCGCTACAGGTAATATCAAAGTCAACTTTAAAAGCTTATAAACCAAAGGATAAGACCGATGCTTCCCCGTACTAACCATCGAACGAGAAAGGTCGGAAATTCCTTTCAAACTAGTGAAGCGCTCATCTTTGATGCAAGAGTGATAAAATATC